TGCTGGCTCTAGGTAGGCAACATCATTACAAAAAAGCATTTCGTAATCTATGAGTTTGTACTTTAACAGTGATCTTGAAATGTCATGTGCTAATCATTGTGGCTGTTGTCATAACCTGAACGAAATAAAGCTGAGAAAACCCAAAACTTCAGAAATTTGACTGTCACTATCACCTCTTTTTTAAATTTTATGAGTAAATGCTCCGAAGTGTGATGCTGAAGTGCCATTTTTTAAGACATAAAACTGAAGTATTGATCAACTGTGCATTAGTGCCTCATTCTTCTGTTCTGAGCAAATTCTTATTCTGGTATGTGTGTTTCTCCTTTCAGCCCTCTCCCCTCCATGCAAGTTCACCTGACATGTTAGTTTCTTTCTGCCAAAAGTGCTTTTTTCATAACAGACTATGCTGTTATGGACTATTCCATGCTATAGTTGTTGAATTACATAGTAGAATAAATACATGTAAAAGCAATTGGAATGGTCCTTGGTCACGTCTTCCAAGGGATCATTGTTAACTTCATTTGGTTAATATTAGTAAGGGTTTTCTTCTAAAAAAACAGAGCCAAAATGAAAAATCACCATCAGAATTTCCTCATTTTAATGTAATTTTTCGTGGAACAGAACAAATTTGGAAAGAGCAGCATTTCCTGTGATGCTAATTGTGTTTAGACTTGTATGTTCTGTAAAACCTTTGTGTTTTCAAAGGAGATACTTAAGTGATCTTCAAGGCATACCGTCCTGAGAGTTACTACTTGTTAATATACCATTCTGGTTTACAGGCATTTAAAGTTCCTTTAAAAACATGCAACAAAGGAAGGCTTTGTGTCGCAGGAAGGCTGTGCATGGGCTGTCAGCAGTCCTCCATCACAAAAACACTCTGTGGGTGAACAGCCAGGAAATCAGACTGAAATGCATAGTACCACCCGAGCATACACACACACCTCTTGCATTTCAGCATTTCTTTTTGTCGTTCAGGATATATTGATAGATGTTTTTAGAGAGAGTTTGGACAGATGCAGTAAAATGTTAAAGCCTCATTACACCCTGTTTTCTCTTATTTTTATAGTGTACCAATAAGCATCGTTATTCATGACTACTCTTTGTGATGAACTTCTTGGGTACATATATTCTTTGTTATTATAATAAAGTTAGAGAAATTAAGCTTGCCCTCTTATAATGGGAATTTTTGGTGGGAATAATTCCAGTTTCAGGGTTTCATATGCACTAAGCAGCTGCTTGATGTTTGGCAACATGATAACATGCCTCCAAGTTTTAAGCTAAATACCTGTGGGAGAAAAAATATGAAAAGATCACAATAAAAGATGCATGTATGTTTAAGTAAGAAATCAGAACAATTATTTTTTTATGAACTGCCATATCCAATATTTGTAGTACAGCAGCACCCTTGAACTCCAGCTAAATTTTGGGGAAATATCTGTTGTAAACTGTAGGGCAATAAGGAGCTACGGTGTTTAGGTTCCTGCCATTTCTGCGTGGTAAGCTTAATGTGTATGGAGTAAAGGACATATTGCAATTTGCAGTTGCAGTGATGGTTAAACAGGAAAAAAGTAAGAGAAAAGTAAGGAATAGTTTCAAGGCCACCATGAGTTACTTGTTCTTATAGTTATTTTTAAAGATATTTTTAATATCTTGACAAAATATGTCTGTTGTCACTGTAGGAAAGTTTTATTGCCTGAAGGTTATCAATAAGTTAACTTGCAGATACCATTTTAAGTTACTACAAGCAAAACTAAGGTTTTTTTTAAAGTAAAGTTTTGATGATTTGTTGCATACATTATTAAGAGCTGAAAAATCTATTTTTCCATTTATTTTCCAAATATGGACTTGGTTGTAGGATGGAATTCTGCCTGAATTTAATCTTTATTTTAATGCTAATTTTCATTTTTGAATTCGAGGATGGAGATTTTTTTGTAGTAGTCTGAAAAATTTTATGTTGAAAATAATTTTCATTTTCCTTTTACTTACCATTAAAATCTGCCTAAAAAAATAGAAAAAAGTAAAAATCTATTGAAGCCATAGTATACTTTCATTGGAATACTGGTGTATGTGGAGTTTCCTATTTCAGCTTATTTCTTATTTTAAAAGTATTTTGGGAAAAAAAAAGATAAAAGAAAAAGTGTTAGAATGCATGCTTTTATTGTCCAAAGTAAATCTTGAAGTACTATAGTTGCGTATAAACGTTACCATTTACGTGTGCTCACTGCAGGACGTTTAATACCACAACGCTTTTAGACTCAGATACTGTCCCAAGTTTCTTGTGGGTTATTGCTTGATATGTAGTAGGTGAGATATGGCAGCATCAGACTGCAGATGGCCTTGAAATCTTTAATTTGATATGTAAGGCAAAAGTGAATCAAGAGTGATATGCCCTTGTGAATCGTTGCTTTTTGACAGGTAGCTGTCGGTTTAGTGCCGTATTTTACTCTTTTTTGTTTGCATTCGTGTTTAATTATGTTAGTAATTCTTTGGTAGTGATATGGATCAATATAACTCCATCTGCGAGAATGAACTGTAAGCCCTGGCTTGGAATAAACTTCTCTGTCTCCCAGGCAAGATTAAGTTTCCCCAATTGCCTGGTGCAATCTTTCTGAAAGGTGATTTCCCCTATCAGTTACCTGAGGGATATGTTGCTATTCTGATTGTTTCAGTTCTTTTCAGTGGCTGACAAGTATACACATTGTATTTTTTCTGTCTTTTTTTGTAACCTCATCAGTGTGCAGCAGAGGTAACACATGCAGAACTTTAATACATGAAAACAAACAGAATTTGAAAATGTTAGGTGAAGTGCAGAGTCTTTGGAGACAGCTAGTGCCCTGAAGTCTACTTTATACAGAAGAGATTAACACCATTATTCTATGTATAATCTCTCCAGCAAAACACTGTCGCCTACTTCTGTCAACAAATGGTTTCTTTGCTTTGGCAGCTGAAAGAAATTTTAGTTGTGTAGGCAACAGAACGTGCCTTCATAAGTTGCAGAACCCAATTTTAAAAATATTTTGGATGGTAACTGCAGTTTTGAGAAGTTAAATTATATTCATTAACTAAATATTTTTTTAAACAAGCTAAAAAGACTAATTATGTCTGCTGTGTGTGACACACTCATAATCCAGGCATAAGGCAGGTTTACTATTTCACAGTACACCTTTTGAAAAGGTACTGTTCCTTGCAGACACTTACTTGATTAGAAGATCTGCACATATCCCATCCACTTTGAGTGCGCTTTCTTTCTGAATCATGGTAGAGATGTGTTCTTGCTGACGGTCTGAGTCCATAAAATTCATATACCAAAAAAAAGAAGATAAAGATGCTCAAGCAGAGGTGCAATGTTTCTAGAAGCCTCAGACCAAACAAATTCTGGAATATTTGCAGGGAGAGGAGAAAAAAGATATATACCATGGCATTTCACTGTGTAAGGCTACAAAAGCCATATTTTAATGGAATTGAGTTATATAGCCATAGTCAACATGTGAAAGTTTTGATTTTTATTTTATGTTAATAAATATGTCAATGTTCCCTTTCAAATAATTGAATTATATTACTAATGAATAATTATATTTTCAATATAAAATTTTACTGTTTTCCCCAAGAAACGGTTAATACAAAAATTAAAGCTAAGATAACAAATATATGCTTTAATATACTGGATTGTATTTGATTTTCTGCAGTTTATTTACCTGGATGAAAAGTAAACATCATCATTCACGGCTTCTGTTACTGGAGGGTCAGATCCCTTGTGGGAGCAGGGCATTCGAACCCTCATCAGTTACAGGGTAAATCCCAGTCTTAGGGCAGAAGTGGATGGGTGTGCACATCCCTGTACCAGGAGCCACTTCACTCCTTGGATACATGGCTGGGCACGTGTATGTCCTGTGGTGAGGGTGCCAGTGCCTCTGACATGTGGCGTGCACGGACTGTGCAAACAGTTTCTTATCATCTGACTGAGCACATGTGTGCTTGCTTTGTAGGAGTGGATGCTGTTTTGCTGTTTCTGCCATGTTGATGGATAGCTGTAATTTGTTTATGTGTGGGGAAGGATGGCAACGAGAATCAAGGCATTAATTACAAAAAACTGTCATGAAGTCATCAGCTTATTTCTTCTGTACGTGTAAGAACTGATGGGGAACAACCTCATGAAAATTGTCATAGCACCTGTCCTAGTGACAGTTACAATGACCTTTCCCTGTATTAATTTTTAGTTTGGTAGTTTGCACTTTGTAATTACAAAGCACAGATCATTGAAACAAATTCTTAACGTTAATCAGTAAGTCAGCATACAAGAATGAAAAGAATCAAGGCTCTCCTTGTATACTAAATGAAAAGATTTCTTCCAGATTCTTGCTTTGATCATTAGACTCTTTTAAATAAGCAAACATTACTTAGTTGCTAAGCCACAGGCTGAAGTTCATTAGTGTGTTATCACAAATATTGGAAAAAGAGTACTAAACCAATATTAGATGGAGGACCTGTGCGTAGGCTGGAAGTAACGCAATGAACGTGACACCAGAACATTTTGAAAGAGGGCTCAGAGTGCTTAAAACCATTTCTGTTTGCAAAACCCCACCCCACTCAGCAAGAAAAAGTGCCAACCCTGAGTTGATCTGTTTTTTCTGCTACTGATATCTTTAAGAGTTTTCTGGAAGGACAGTAGATTTAATAGTCTTATAAGCAATTTTGTGCATATTCTTTGTTTTAAATGTCAACCAGGTATATTGATGTGGCCTTTTTTTAGTCTAATGGGTATCCTTAAAACTGGTTTTCATTAGAATGCTTGTAACCATAGATTGAAAGCCAGAATGACATCTTATTTAAATACCCTTTTTGGGACCCCAGCTCAGAATCCTAACAAATCAGTTGTGGATACATAGATCTTGCAGGTTGTTCAACTTTACAGAATGTCATGGTCATTTGGAATTTTTTGGCGTTCTTTGTATTATCTTAAGCAAATGAACTAACAGTCCATGCTTTTGCATTCTTCACAGATCTTCAGTACAGTGAGAGAAGAAGAGGAGGGAGCAGAAGATATTTTTGAATATATTCCTCATCTTCGGAGAAAGCTCCCAACCTTTATTACAGTCTGTATTTGCAAAGATGATGGGTTTTGTGTAAAACCATGTGTAGCAGATGCTTACTGTCAATATCGTGCCACTTTACAGAGGACTGCACTCTCTAACTATATAACTGGTGCTTTACTAGAAGCAACTACATCATTAGGAGCAAGAAGTGGTCTTTTAAATATCTTTGGAGGATCAACTGGAAGAACAATGCTTAAAGGTAATGAAGATTTATTTTTTTGACCCCGATCCTCTTTAAATATAGGGTGAATTGCAAAATTATTAATACTATATAATATTCTGTAGTTTATGTACTCATATATGAAGTTCACAGTTAAAAAAGGTTTTCATGTTTTCAGATGTTTTCCTTTGCAATCATTATGTGTCATAATAACTAGATGTGTTAGTTTAATAAACTAAAATGCATGCTAAACTGAATAGATTCTTATTACAAAACAAACACCTTTTCAGGGTTTTTTTCTTGTTGGAATCTGTTCTGCCTGCATCCAAATTTATTGCCTAAGCAATTGTTTTTAGGGTGTTCCTCATTTGCCAAGTGCTCTTGCTCACGGGCTGACTTAGTTCAGGACCTGAGAAAGGAGTATGTACTCTATGTGGTTGTTATTGTCATTATACAGCTAGCTGTCAGCATAGCACTGTGTGGTTAAGTATGTACAGTTCACTACTGATTTATTGTTGGTCTTTTCTTGGATCCATCATCTTTCTAGTATTGGATCATTTCAAATAATGCAGGTATTGTGTATTTGGAAAATGCCAGTTGGAGGATGGATGTTGCATGTTAAATTTCCATGCTGATCATCTTCCTATGTAGTAAGAATACCCATATGTGATTTAGTTTGATCAATTTTGGAAGTTAAACAGACAAAAGAATTCTTGGTACAAATGCATTGCATTAAAAGATGGTTTTGCACAGAATGTACATTATCAATTGATTTTTAATTAATGCCTAGAATATTTCATAAGTTACTCAAGCATTTGGAGATGTATCGTCATCTGATATACCCTAACAAAAGAATGTTGTATGTCAGTCATACAATGGTAGAAGTGATGCTTGTGGATATTATGGTTTGCCCAACTTTAACAGGAATATGACAAAATCAGTGCATAATTTTCACTGTAGTTGCTTAACTAGTGTAGATACTGACCTCATTTTTTCCAATAATGGTATAGTTTATGCTTGGATATGGTTGTCTTATTTTTATCCCCAAGAGTGTCCCTCTCTAGTTTTAATTAGTCTCTCTTTAGATGAATCAAATGGGAGAGAGAGACACTAAAATACTGTAAGAAGGACAGGTACAGATGGCAAACTGTAGCATCTGAGTGAATTTCAGTAGCATGTTGAGCAACGTTACTAAGCTTCACATACACTCATTGTCTGTGGGAGACAGAGATATGTACAGTACAGTGTCCTATTTTGGTAGGGTTTTCCTTTTTATTTTGTTTGGGTTTTATTTGTTCTGGGCAGATGAGTGCTTTAGAAGAATAAGTATATACATTCCTCTGACAGCTTGGAAAGCAAGGTTAAAAGAACTGAGTCATGTGCTTCAGAACTGAGCTTTGAAACTGGAAGCAGCAGCAGACACCCTGATCTGCTGATATGGCTGCATCTTTTTGTGGAGGCTGGGCTAGTGACTGCACATGAGCGCTCTGTGTACCAGCACACTTTGCACTGCACACTTTGGGGATCTCTGTGGTGGCAGTGTTATGTGGTGTACGTTTTTGTTGTTGGATTCTGAACCAAAGGATGTGAGACATTAGAGAAAAAGCCGAGGTCTGGAACTTGAATTGCAATTCCACTGACAACCTGTGTAGATAGTAGAGATTGTATTTACTGTAGTGGTCTAGGCATGATTTACTGTACTGGTCTCTGTTAAGGAAGAGATATGCTGCAGCTTTAGGATATTGAAGTTTTCTGATGTGGAAGGTTCATGTTCAGTTATACTGTGATCCTTTCTAAAAGCATTTACATAGTGTTACTTGATGATATTACTATCTGAGCCATTAGCATTAGCAAGGAACCCAGCCATATTCTGAATTCAGAGTTGCAGTTATCATTCATGGGTGTGTACACTTTAAGAAAGAAATTGTCCTGTCCATATAGATTGATAAAAAGATTATTTGTATCTGTTCAGCATCTTTTCTTGTGTCTGGATTTAACCTCAAGCATAAGCTAATGGTTGTTTGGAGGCATTGAAAAGGGAATATATTGATTCTGGTGTGGTTAAACAGTTGTTGTGGTTTAACCCTAGTAGGTAGCACCATGCTGCCACTTGCTTCCCCACAGTGGGATGGAGGAGAGAATCAGAAGAGTAACAGTGCAAAAATGCATAGATTGAGCTGTAGACAGTTCAGTAGATGAAGGAAAAGTTGTGTGCACAATCAAACCAAAATAAAGAATTAATTCACTACTTCCAATCAGCAGGTAGGTGTTTAGCCCTTTCTGTGAAAGCAGGGCTCCATCATGTGTAACGGCTTCTTGGGAAGACAGAGACTTTAGCTACAAATGCCCTTCCTACAATTTCCCCCAGCTTTTATTGCTGAGCATGATGTATGGTATAGAATATACATGTCTATGCATATGGTGCAGAATATCCCTTTGGTCAGTTGGTGTCAGCTGTCCTGTCTGAGAAACAGAAAAGGCTGAAGATGTGTAAGCACTGTCCAGCAATAACCGAAACATCCCTGTGTTATCAACAATGTTTTGGTCACAAATCCAAAAACTCTTCCTTTTCTATTACCAGTAAGAAAAAGAAAATCTAGTTTGTGTACCTGTGTCGATCTCTAGTACACCACTATGAGGGAGAATGAAGTTTTTGTGGTAAGAAAGCCACAAGCCATGTAGTAAATTAGAGCTCTGACCAGTAACTTATGTTCTGATGTACGGGGGACAGAGAGTGGGTGGACTCCTGAATTCCACTGAATTGCTCTAACGGGCAGCCCATGTACACAGTGTGTGGCAACATATCCAGTCTTATTCTGGAGGCATGCAATATGAGACCACATATGAGCCATTTCACTACTTTTTCTTCAATATGTTTACAATTTCTGGAGATGAAGTTCAGCACTCTCTTGCACAGTCTGTTTAAAGAGGAGCCCGTAACTCTAATGAGAAGTGCCTTCATGATTTAAAAGGAAGACTTCTCAAAAACTTTATACTCTCTGTAGTTAGGACTTTTATGTAACATCTGCCCTGGAAATAGGGACCCTACAAACAGCGAGTCCCTAATGCTGGGATAGCCTCCTGGGTTTATGCCTCTCTAGCACCAAGCACATTGTGAGTTCTTTGTGTTCAGTCCTTCAGGAGTTACTTGGTGACATGTGCAATGAACCTTACAGTCACAAGCAGTCCAGCTCCAGGGAATACTGTTGTAAGGTTTTGCTTGGTAGCTAAAGGCCTTAAATGCTCTGAGTCCCCAGAGCTAGGGTGGTTTTGTGGGCAGATCAGCCAGTGTTAGTTCCACAGAAGGCTTCCAAACATACCAGACCTCCTAAGCCAGAATTCCCAGTCACATGGATCTGAGACTAAGAGTCTTTAAAAACTCATGTAGGGCCTGCTGTGTAGGAGACTCACCTCTTGGGCCTGGAGCAGTGAGCCTGCAAGCCCTGCTCTCACATGGCTCACAGAGCTGTCAGGATCCCCCGACTGAGGAGCTGCGACTCTGGTCCTGGTAGCACAGGGACAGTCTGAGAGTGGACTCCCGGGAACTACAGATGCCTGGAGTTCCCACAGCTGGTCAGTGACATTCACATCCTTGTCAGCATCTTTGTTGCTACAGAGAACATAATTTTCACATATGAGTACTGAAGATATTTAGGCTGCACTGTTTTAGTACGTCTGTGTGTAACTCAGAATTTTTGGTTAGCAAAAAGTTTTGAGAGTGTCTTTCAATGGGATTTGGATTGAAACCAGATTTTTTTTCCTGTAAGAAGGAAATCCTGTTTCTCAGCCTGTTCTGTTTCTTAAAAATTGATTGTTACAGAAGTTTGCTCATAGTTGTGAATGGGCCAGAACTTTCACTGGAATCATATTTGAGGGGCCAGTCATTATCACAGTTTATATGGTGTTGACATTTTTATATAGAAAGTGAAAAAAAAGGTTTGTGTCTTTCTTAAAGAAGGAACTAGAGTATGTGAAAATGTTTGTACTTTACATTTGATACCTAAATCTGGAGTCATAGTTGGAAAGAAACTTGTAATCTTCCCTCCCCTGCACCCCCAATAACTTGTGTTTGTAATCTAAGAAAAAGGAAAGGGAAATAGAAAGAGGTGTCTGAGGATGGAGCAGACTGCAATCATTTCATGTCAATATTCTTTTCACTTTAGCTTCTTTCAAAGCTGTTCAAGTTTGATGCCACTTTCTTTGATATAAATCAGACTAAGTGTTTGATCATTGTTGTTCATCTTCTAGACAAAGCTCAACGGGACTTGTTAAATACACAACAGCAGTTTTTGACCAAGAATGGAAGGAAACTAATTTGTCATGAACATGGAGGCAGACTGCATTGATCTTAAGAAAACCTACTTAATTCATCCCACAGAATTTAGAGATTACCCTTTTTCTGTAATCAGACTTTGCCATCTGCAAACAGGCAGCAAACAGGTGCCCAAGTCTCTGGGGCTTTTCCCACTGCTGTTTTTTGTACCCTTTGCACGAGGTGTATTGTTACAGTATTGGGGAAATTCCAGGGTCCCAGAAGTTGGGGCAGTTGTCTGATAGCTGTATGTCAGTCATGGTGATAACAAGCTTGACGTACACAGATATAGAAAGGCCAGCATGATTTAGCTGGTCTGCGTGTGTTTGGGCACAAAGGTTAAGACCCTCTGGAGTGAGGGATAAATCCAAATGAGCTGAAATTAAGACCTGGAAAGACAAAATGTGTCTTAGGCTCAGAGTCTATGGTAAGAATATGAGTCATGCAATACACTGTAGGAGAGGAAATCAAATACAGAAGATAGATCACACGGTATGTAGATAATGTGGCCTGAGGCAAGAGTGTGAGTCAGGTGACAAGGATTTTATGCCTGCTGTGTTGCCTCCAAGATGTATATCAAGAAGAGCAGGAACACGAACAGATCACCTGGTTAGGAAGAGAATGAAGAGGGACATGGCAGGAAGTACAGATCAAGGCTGAGATGGCAGGATGGAGGACAAAGATTTTGGAGGACAGCTGTAAATCTAGGGACATCTGGGACTGTCTG